TTTCACACAAAAAAGTGATTACTTCCAGTTTTACGACACATTTTTATTTTTTTGACTTGTAAATTTATCTTCATTAAATTGACTAAACGTTCATATCTGTAATTCGTGGCACAAGTCAAACGGGATCGAAAGCATTATCTTCTTCTTCTCCATTGACTGTCGATACTATGATTTTTTCCGAAATAATGGTCCCATGGAGGCTCCCTCCCGGAGAAGGGGAGGGGACTTCGCCTTCTCTTTTTGACTTTCAGCCAGGATACAGCGGTGGGAGACGGGGCGGCGCCGCGCTCATTTCTCCTATGGAGTTGTCATTTGCGGCATGATGACAACATTGCCCAATTTGGAGAGATGTGAAATGTTCACAGAGGTTACCCAGCAGTGCCCTGAGAGTCCTCGTTCACACATCAAGCCATCGTCAGATTTGCTACACGTAACAGGCACCCGCCGCGGTTCTGAGTTGTTATGATGGATTGATATTTAACGGAATCACAAGGGGGGCGGCCCACGGCAGTCTGCAGTAGCTGCCTGCTGCTAGCTACTGGCTCCCCTTCTCGAAGCTGCCCATCTTCTGATCAACAGTGAAGAAAACTGAGTCCCTCCCCAACTCCGCCATCTGACTCTTGACGTCTGACTCACTATATGAAGGCTCAGCCAAAAGTCTCAAGTAAGACTCTGGGCCGTTTCTCATCGCGGATGCTTGCTTGTAGCACATGTCTTCCGGGAGTCACTTCCTTCAGAAAGTCTAGGCATAAGGAATCTCGCTTTACTGGCATTCGGCAAACGAAGAGTGGAACGCTAGCAGGCTGTTGGCAGTTGTGTGCCGTCATATGAGAGGCCCGCCTTACATTTTTCCGCACAGATTGGGAAATTGGTCCGTGCACAAAGCATTATGGGGATTTTAAGGACACAAAGTCTACCCATGTGCAGCCTCGAAATTTCCCACAAACCAAGGACGCGGCCTCGGTGGAATTCCAAGTATGCTGGAGATTGGAACAGTCCTTCGGCGGCACTCGATGACGTAGTATCCTTGAAATATTGGCTTGGAAGCCAGTTTCCTCGAGATTGAGAAACGGCCTGGGTATGTATACATTCACTCCCCAGATGCTTATAATCAGCTCATCACGGGCGCTGTCTTTAACCTATTACATTCACCTCATTCTCCAGCAGCCAATCACCGAGCTGCAGCCAAACTTTAAAATGGTTCTCCTCTCTCCTGCAGTCAGCTGTGATTTCAGGTGTTCATGCTGCCGCCCGCCTCCTCTCCATCGACCTCCGTTCATCATATCCAGAGCCAGGAGAGCTAATCCAAAGACCTCGTCACACCTCCTCTTCATCCCATCACCTCATCAAATCCAGATCTTCATCATCATCACCAGTGTCTAGACCCCCGGAGAGGTTCCCATATGCTCACAGCTGCATTTCCCCCTTTAGATATAAGATTTCAAGATCGGGGGCTAATCGCCAAAGACTTAACATTTATCATACATGTGTCAATAAATGTCCTTTAAACAAAAATTAAATCTCTCCCGATTGAACTGTCTGGACCCCATCCTCAACTTCTTTTTCAAACCATAAAATACCTTCATAGGGCTTTCCTGTTGATCATGTTTGGTGGATTTTTTAATATAATAATTGCAATCAATTTTCATTTCTTATTTTTGTGAATTTCTATATAAAATGCTGATTTATACCTGAAATGCTTATGTATTTTTAATTACATTTTCGTAGAGCTTTGACTTTTTCAGCTGGTAATAGATTGTTTTGTTCAGCATTGCCAGCTTCACTGTTGAGCTATATGTTGTGCCCAGCATTCTCCTGTGCTCTGAAATCAAAATGTGGATAAGCATAGAACAACACTAAAATAAACACTACAATACAACTTGTTATTTGACACACACAAGGTTGTTCATTTGTGTGTATAAATATACAACACAGGCTATATACATATATATAAACATACAAATATAATTAATACAACTGTTAATTTGATTATTAGAGCTTTGACACATATATCTTTNTAATCAGCTCATCACGGGCGCTGTCTTTAACCTATTACATTCACCTCATTCTCCAGCAGCCAATCACCGAGCTGCAGCCAAACTTTAAAATGGTTCTCCTCTCTCCTGCAGTCAGCTGTGATTTCAGGTGTTCATGCTGCCGCCCGCCTCCTCTCCACCCACCTCCGTTCATCATATCCAGAGCCAGGAAAGATAATCCAAAGACCTCATCACACCTCCTCTTCATCCCATCACCTCATCAAATCCAGGTCTTCATCATCATCACCAGTGTCTAGACCCCGGCTGCATTTCCCCCTTTAGATATAAGATTTCAAGATCGGGGTCTAATCGCCATGTGTCAATAAATGTTCTTTAAACAAAATTAAGT